TGTGTTATAGATTGGATGGCTGCCTGAGTTCGCAGCATTTTTCGCTTGCCTGTGGAATGTAAATGTCGCACAATGGTTGACTGGCCACAGTTTCATCACATGTGCCAATTCTCGGGTTGACTGACATGGATTGTGGTAGATTAAAGCATTTAAATGGTTTTCATCAAAGGCCGATGGTCTCCCTGAACATGGAGAATCACTCAGGTCAAAGTGGTCCTCTTCGAAAAGACAAAACTGTTTCCTCGCTGTGTTTTCCCTAATGGCATTCTCCACGTACAGCTCACAAATATTTCAAGCCGCCTCCATGGCCTTTACTCCTCTATTAAACACAAACAGACGACTGTGTCAGAAGTGTTCAGGCTTTTTTCCACTTGACACTCCATCTTCTGTAGCCCACAAATAGCACTAACTTTCTTCAAATCTGGAAAATGCTAGGTGTATTCACAAGCACAACACTGCCATTCCAAATGACAAATGATAAACCAACTCCCCACCCCCCAGTGTCGCCACGCCAAAAACAAATGCTACAAACCTATACATAAACCTAAGATATATGATGGAATCTGGGAGGAATCTGGGAGCAGTTGAGCGGGGTAGTTCTGGCTTGGGTTCTCTCATGAGGTTGTAGTCACGCTATCAGCCAGGGGGCCATCATCTGAAGGCTGGACTGGGCGGGGCGATCTGCTTCCAGGCTTCCCCACGTGGCTGTTGGCTGCAGGCCTCAGGTCCACACCCCATGAGCCTCCCCAAGGGTGTTCGTGACATGGCAGCTGGCTTTCCCTCAAACGAAGGTTCCAAGAGAGAGAAAGAGCAAGAAAGAAGGAAACTGCAGTGTCTTCTGTCTCCTCTCAGAAGGGACACACCATCATTTCTGCCATAGTCTATTGGACACACAAACCAACCCTGGTACAGTGTGGAAGGGGATTGATTACATAGAGGGCCGGGATCATGGCAGCCATCTTACAGGCGGCAACAGAGCAGCGTGATCGATGGTGGGGGTTCAGTACATATCCTCTATCACCAAGTCAGTCTCTACTTTTATTTTTAACAGACTATATATTATTTAGAGCAGTTTTAGGTTGACAGCAAAATTAAATAGAAAGTATAGCTAAGTGCAGTAGCTTACACCTGAAATCTCAGTACTTTGGGAGGCGGAGGTGAGAGGATTGCCTGAGCCCAGGGGTTCGAGACCAGCCTAGGCAATTCGGCGAGACCTCGTCTCTATAATAAATTTAAAAATTAGTTGAGTGTGGTGCCACATGCCTGTAGTTTCATCTACTTGGAAGACCGAGGCAGAAGGATCACCAGAGCCCAGCAGGTCCAGCCTGGGCAACAGAGTAAGAGTCTGACTCAGAATAAAAAAGAAAGTGAAAAAGAAAGTACAAAGAGTTCCCACAAATCCGCTAGCCCCCACATCCCACACGCACAGCCTGCCCCCTGCCACCAATGTCCCCCACCAGAAGGGTGCTTTTGTTACAGTGAACCTACATCGACACATCATTGCCATCCAGAGTCCATCATTCATGTTAGGGGTCACTCTTGCTATTGGACGTTCTGTGCGTTTGCACAACTGTATAATGACCTGGATCCACCATGACAATATCATGCAGGGTATTTTTATTGCCCTAAAAATCCCATGTTCTCCCTGTTCATCCCGCCCTCCCCACTAACCCCTGGCAACCACTGATCATTTTGCTGTCTCCATGGTCCTGTTTTTTTTTTTTCCCCAGAATGCCACATAGTTGGAATCCTACTGCATGTAGCCTTTCAGATTGGCTTCTTTCACTTAGTAATTAAGATTTCTCTGTGTCTTTTCATAGCTTGATAGCCCATTTCTTTTTATTATCATTATTTTTAGCAAAAAAATGTAAGCGTACTTTTTGCCCTGGCTTTACTGATCCCATCATTTTGGAGGGCTTTTAATCTTCCACTAAACCTAAATAGTTTGAGTAGTTTGCCCAGATAATCTGCTGCTGCCACCTTGGGGGAAAAACGTCAATAAATGTGTTTTGGGCAGCCTTAGTAACTGTCTTTCTCTTCAACTGCCTCTTTCCCTTGCAATCCCATTCTCTAAGCATCCGACCAGACCATTCATGTTCTGCTTGTCTAACCATTTGTGGAAAATCTCTATTTGAAACCCTTATTATGTTCTATTTAAAATAGATTTGGTTGAATGTACAAAGTAACCAAGTCCTGCTGAAAGAACTAAGCTCTCTCCTAGGAAGGTCTATGTTCTATGTGTCGGTTGGTGAACACTTGTCACAGGAAGGTGCTCGCTATTAAATAGAAGTCTCAGACAGACGATATGGGAAATACTTTTTCCATGGGGAAAGAATAGAGCAATATTATTGCAATTTGACCATCACCCACAGTGAGCTAGCAAGACACTTGCAAATGACAAAGGCAAAATTCAAGTTAACTGTGTTGATGGCCGTGTCATCTTCCTCCTCTATTCGGCCATGAGGCTGAAAAAGCAGATCTCAGAGCAAAAGGGCTGGAACCACCATCATGAGAATGAATACTGATATTTGTATAATGTTACACAGTGCTATACCTGCCACTCAGACTCTTTTTTTTTGAGTCGGAGTCTCACTTTGTTGCTCAGGCTGGAGTGCAGTGGCACACTCACAGCCACCACAGCCTCAACCTGCTGGGCTCAGGCGATCCTTCCGCTTCAGCCGTCCAAGTAGCTGGAACTACAGGTGTGCGCCATCATGCCTGGGTAATTTTTTTTATTTATTGTAGAGGCGAGGGCTCACCACGTTGCCCAAGCTGGTCTCGAACCCAGAGCTCAGGCAATCCTCTCGCCTAAACCTGCTGGGCTCAGGCGATCCTTCTGTTTCAGTCTTCCAAGTAACTGGAACTACAGGTGTGTGCCACCATGCCTGGCTAAGTTTTTGATTTATTGTAGAAACGAAGTCTCACCATGTTGCCCAGGCTGGTCTCGAACCCAGGGCTCAGGCAATCCTCTCACCTCCACCTCCTAAAATACTGGGATTACAAGCGTGAGCCACCATACTCAGCTCCATTCTGACTCTTGAAGGGAGTAGATTTTTCCTTGGTAAGTTGCAACCAGACAGTTAGGGTCGCTCAGCAGAAAAAAAGAAAAAAGAAATGCTACCAGGAACCTACACGTTTAGGATCAAAACTGGTTGTAGATTCCAGTGGAAAGGGATGAAAAATTCCAGAAAAGTTTTAGAGTGGCTTAGAAAGATGGGCTGTATTCAAGTCTCAGCAGCTAAACAGGTGAACTCTTCACAATTTGCTGTCATTTAGTGAGCAATGAGACTGGTCATTGAATTTGTATTTCTTGACAACTGGCTCCACGCAGTACCCAGTGTTTGATGGAAATATTATGTAACAGTTCAACTTAGCTGTTTGAACAGCAGCATTTGCCATCAAATGGAGTAAGTGGGTGGGAAAATGTTCCTTATATAACAATACCTCTGGGGTACCAGGGCTGTGTGAGTCCTAAGGTGTCCATAGTCACCGCCATTTTTCTCAGGGTGACGAAACCTCCTGAGGCTAAGGAGGTAGCCACGATATACCTGAGAGGTAAGGCGTAGTCCTTGAAGAACCTCCTTGCAAATGAACGCCAACAAGGAATTGCAAGCATGACACCATCTCTTTCAAGACATTTTCTGCCAGCCTTTTTCGAGACAGTTAGTGACCCTCTCCAAATTGGGGGCCAGGAGGTGGGGAATAAGCATATTTTGAAAAGATGTCCTCCAGAAATTCTTCCATGTCCTGCAGGGCTTCATGGTGGAGAGCAGCCCTTACTTCCCGCTTTCGGTTGACAGAGCCGGGGGAGGTGAATAAGTCTCCTGGGTACTGCTCACGTATTCTGAGCAGGACAAAATTCAGCTGAAAGATTACCTAGGTCCTACCGCAGAGTTTGCCACTAACATTTGACTTTTTTTTTTTGAGTTGGGGTCTCGCTGTGTCATCCAGGCTGGAGTGCAATGACACAATCATGGTTCACCGTAGCCTCAACCTCCTGAAGTCAGGAAATCCTCCTACCTCAGTCTCTTGAGTAGCTGAGACTACAGGCATGCACTGCCACATCCAGCTAATCTACAAAATTTTTTTGTAGGGACAGGTCTCACTATGTTGCCCAGGCACGTCTCAAACTCTTGGGCCCAAGCAGTCCTCCTGCCTTGGCCTCCCAAAGTGTTGGGATCATAGCAGTAGGCCACTGCTCCCAGCATATTTGACGTTTTTTGTCTGTAAACCAAAAAGGTTGGTTTATGTGGCCCATAAGACCACTACAGCGACTCTATTTCAACATTCCATTTAGGGCGGAAGCTGGGGAGTCTCGTGTAGTTTCATAAAATAAGGTTGCTGTGCCTTCCAGTAAATCTAAACCCAAGGTTGCAAGAGTGGCCAGAACTGGCTTGCAAATGTGTTTTGTTTATGTTCCCAGTGTCTTGTGTTTGCTGAATTAATTGCAAAACTTAAAAATAGGGAGATGTCTTGAAAATCCAAGGTCTGGCAATACCAGAGCCTCATGCCTGGGGGCAGCCTCTTCCAGAGTGCACATGTACTGTTGGTGTCCCCACGGTCCCGCTGACCCATTTTGTTCATTCTCAGCCCTTCCCAGCCCCTGTAGCAGGTTGAGTTTGCAACTCCTGTTTTCAATTCTCTCCGTGTTCCCTGGATCACATGGGACAATGATGCTTCGTGAAGAACACATATCCGAGCCTATTTCGACGTTTTTCTGGCTCAAGGAGGGTGGTTTGTGTGACCCCCTGAACTGTGGATATGCCTGTCTGACTTGGTCATGAATGCGGAGGGTGAGAGGAGAGCTGATGGCAGAACATCTGGTGATGGTTCTGGAAAGCTCCCCATCAAGGTGACTGCATTACAGATGTACAGAAGGGGTGTGAGAAGTTCTATATGAACATCTGTGTGCATCAAGAAGAGATGAGACCAAAGAGAAAAAATGACGCTGGGGTTTTCAAGTAGCTTTTTTCCTTCTTCCTCTCACCCTTATTGTCCAGGTCCATGCCCCAAACGGCGGGCGGGCGGCTGCTGTACCCACCTGGGCTCCCTATCGGCCCTGAAGCATGCTGTCCTGGGGCTCTACCTGCTGGTCTTTCTGATTCTCGTGGGGATCTTCATCTTAGCAGGTAAGAGCAGGCCTTTTCCTTCCCGGCCTTTCGAGATGAGAAAGGGAGACCTGGACACTCGGCTTTTCGTTCCCACTGCCCTTGTCCCCACGGAAACCATGGAGAAAAAATGCCAGCTGGTCTTTCTCACCGGGCCCAGCTCCTCGGCAGCATTGCCAGTTTCTTGTGGGAGTTGCTGGCAGGGGTTACCTGGAGCTGTAGAATTGCTGAGTCCAGCAGTAGTGACCTAGTCACTTGGAGTGTCTTCTGACTTCCTGTGTCATCATGGAACAGGGTACATTACACTGGATCTCCCAGGACCTCTGGGGTGGGTCTGCACCATGCAGACTGGGCATTGTCTTAGCTTTTTGTCCTGGGCAGGGGGGGCTTGAAAATAGTTGGGAGGCACTTGGGGGTCATGATAAACCTGCTTTTGTAGTTACTGTAGATAGGGTGGGTTTGCCAAGCTCTCCCCCTACTTTCTTTCTTTTTTTTTTTTTTGATAGGGTAAAAGACATAAAATTTATTTAAAAGCACATAGCATAGGGAATCTCAGGAGAATGGTGACCCAATATCCCAGTGCAGTACAGAAGCTTATATACCCTTTTTCATAGGGGGGGTGGGGAAGATGAGTCAGGTATGAGCAGACATGGGAGGTAGAAGCCAGGTGTTATCAGATTATCTTACATGTAGATTATCTTACATGTAGAGAAAGTCCCCCCAAGCCGTCTCTTGAGCTGAAAAATAGAACAAAAGTCGACCTGGCGTGGTGATGAGCCCTAGTGTCTTCTCCAGCAGTTGCTCTTTCAACCGTTAGTGGATGTTGAACTGAAAGAAGAAACTTTCTTTAATTAATATAGGTAGAGAGTTTATTTGAGCACAAGTTGAGGGCTGCAGCCTGGGAAATACTGGGAAATGCTCCCTTCTGCCCAATTTTTCTCTGTGAAAACGGCAGGATATGGGCTGGGGTCTGGAGCAGGCAGAAGGAGAGCTCCCAGAAAGGGAACAGACAGGCCCCATGCTTAGAACAGCCCAGCTCCCTCCCCCCACAGGTCGTCCCTGTGAAGATGGAGGTGGTGACACAGACAGCTGTGCGGGTCTCCTCCTGACTCCCACCCAAAGTAAGGGCTGCTCAGTTTCCCACCTTCCTCCTTGGAGGTGTGTGGGCTTGACACAGGAAGGCCAACATGCCTCTCATCAGGACCTACCTTGCAGCAGGCTCCGTGCTACAATTGGGGACACACTCAATAAGACAGCCTGTCATCCCGCGCCTTTGGGAGGCTGAGCTGAGTGGATGGCCTGAGCCCGCGGGTTCCAGACCCGCCTGGGCAGCGAGACCTCATCTCTACAATAAATCAAAAAATCAGCCGGGCGTGGTAGCGCATGTCTGTAATTCTGGCTACTCGGAAGGCTGAGGCCGAAGGATCGCCGGAGCCCAGCAGGTCGAGGCTGCGGTGGCCGGGAGCGGCCGCTGCACTCCTGTCTGGGCGACAGTGAGACTCCTACTCAAAAAAAATAAAAATAAAAAATAAGACCTAGGGGCTTCTTTCAAGGAGCTCCCAGCGAGGCAGGGTCATAAGGTCATGCAAATAGAGACCCATCTCAATGCGGAATGTGACGGGCTCCGTGTTGGACGTGTGAACCAGTGCTGTGGGGGCACAGAGAGGGCGCACAGTCAGGGGCTGGGGGTGGGGGAATGTGGCTGCTGTCTGGAGCAGGGTGGGGTTGGTTGGTGAGAGAGAGCTCGCTGGCCAGGCAGAACGGACTTGGAGCGCTGGGGGTGGGGTGCCCCGGCGAACCCCGGGGCAGGAGTCTGGAGGCTTAGTCCCTACCGAGGAACTTTTGCTGGAAATCCAGAGGCAAATGGATCTCCCTGGACTTGACTCACTTTCCATCAAGCAGGCCTGGTCACTCGGACCTTGTAACGGGATGCTCAAGGCAGCCTGCAGCGTCAGGTTTCCACACTCAGGGCAAATGTCATCACCAGGGTGGGGCCTGTCCCACCAACCCATGACGGGTCAGGGGGGACGGGGGTGGGTGGCCAAAAGCAATACCCCAAGAACCTCACGATTCAGCCCAGGGACCACAGCAAGATTTATTGCAGGCCAAGCCAGCCAGAGGATGACTTGAACATGTTCTTGGGCTGCTTGGCGAGAGGTTAGGAACTGGGTTTTGTGGGTTTGGCTGCCAGGACCGTAGCAAATTTCTGGAATGTTTGGAAAGTGTTCCAGCCCAGCAGGAAAACCAGAACAGGAACTTTTAGGTGACAGATGCAGGGAAGTTCTGCAGAACAAGAACTTTTGGGTGGCAGAGGGGGCTCTAGAGGAGAAGGACCCAATGGGGACCTGGCAGGTCATCAGAGGCCTGGAGGGCTTGGAAGGGTGTCACCTCCTGGGGAAAAGACTTGCAGCTGAGTGACGGTTCTCTTCTGGTGTCTGGAGGGCTGCAGTGTGGAAAGGGTGGACGTGCGCTGTGTGACCCCAGAGGGCAGAACCAGGACGAACGGGTGGAGGTTCTAAGGGGACAGATTTCCACTCAAAACAGATGAAAATTTTCTAATGAGGAGAGCAGTGTTGTCCAGCGTGATGCAAAAAGGCTTCCTCCCAGCTTGGAGGTTGAGTGGAGTTTATAATGACATCCTGGAAGCTTCAGAAAGGAGGGTGGAACGTGGTTTCCCAACCTCATAAAAATGTTGCCACACTTCCTTCATTGCTCCAGGGTCCGAATCCCGATAATCGCCCCCGTGAACCTGAAGCCTCTGGTACCCCATTGCCTTGTATGGAACAAAAATCTGGGGTGGATTGGAATCGATGTGATGAAACAGTGTCACCCTCAATCTCTTGGGTCTGGGTGTGTGGCCATGGCCGCCTCCCCAGGTTCTTGTCTGGAAAATGACGCAGGCTTCTGGGAGAGGTTTGGAGAGGGTGGCTAATGAGACTGCAGTCACCAGCTGCTTCTCCCATTGGGAACGGACTTGGCCATGTGGTGGACGCATCTGGGGCTCTTTGAGGAGGCTCTGGTCTGATCTTAGGGAGGAAGTTCTTCAGGTTACCTGACTGAGGGCCTCAGTGATGCTTCCTTTCAGCAGATAGCAAGAAGGTGGCAGATCCACAATCCAGTGTGAACCAGAGCTTGCCTCGCCTTCTGGAGTGCGCCACTGTGGATTGGGGTGGGCTTCCCCTTCTTGGGCAGAAGAACCCACTGCCCATGCCCTGGAGAGGCTGCCTGGGCCACGAGATCTGTTTAAACCACTCCTCAACTCCAAAACCTCCTTGTCAACACAAATCTCATGCTTCCTACAACTGATGACAAAATTATCCACGGCCACCAAGTACTGTATCTGAATACCTGATAGGCATCAGCCCCTTGGAGTGCAAATGCTTACCCTTACTGTTTCCCGCGATTACAAAACCATAATGTGATTAATTACATCAAAACGTCACCCCCATAAGCCCCACATGTGACTGCCCTCAATTCACTTCCTTGCCTAAATGTTGAAAGCAAAAGGCAAATCCCGTATCTTGTGTTTATGCATCACCCCAGTTTTCCTGTCAGAGGTTAAGCCAGCCCTGCCCAAATTATTCTCTCCACTGGACTTTGTGTCCACCATCTAACTGTCCATTCCTGACCAATGTCTTCCCGGGAGTTCTCTGCTGATATTCACGCCTCTCTGGCTTCTTTTCCCTCAGCTCGCAGTCTCCTGTCACTCCCAGAGGCTTCAAAAAGTCAATTCCTTTCGCTCCAAAATTGTTCTCCCCTCTTCTCCCATCGCTTCCCCTCTCTTCCCCCTCCCCACCCTTCTTTGAGACAGGGTCTTGCTCTGTTGCCCAGGCTAGAGTGCCGTGGTGTAATCATGGCCGCCAAGGTTTTCTCTCTCTTCATCACATTTTGTTTACTACCTAGGCTGACAGTTTCCTACTGTGTTTACATTCTGTTCCAGACTCATTTCTGGACAGTAAAGACCAGTGGGTTTCGTTTGTGAACGAGAGAATCGAGATTGGATGGTCATGTGGTCAGGAGGTCCTCGGTCTAGCACTTGAGGCAAGATGTTCTCTGTGATAAAGTCAAAGGTTCAGAGAAAGTTCAGTCTTTCCCACCACTATTCTGGGAAGTCACTGCAGTGACAAAGTGTGGCCACCGGGAACCATCTCTTCCACCCCTTTCCTGATACAACCCCATAGACGACCTGAATTCCCACTGCAGAGGTGAAAGGTGGACACCCGGGCTTCCAGTGTGGCAGAAGCCACGGTGTCCCAGCAGTGTAGACCAGAGTACTGGACCATGGGCATACGGGCCTCCTCTCACAGCTTAACTTAATGTTTTCTTAACAGCAGCAACAGCGGGTCATTTGTCATCATTATTAGCATACGCTTACCTTGGGCATAAGTGCTTGGTGGGTGCAAAGCAGAGGAACAGGCACTGGGAAGAAAAAGTGATGAGATGCGGTCCCTGCATGGAGGGTGTTAAATCACACACACACACACACACACACACACACACACACACACCCATATACCTACCTGAGGACAATATGATGTGGTTTACATTACATGCCAAATCACGCAAAGGAGAGCCCGGTCCCTGAGGGCTAAAGTGGTGGGGGAAGACCTCCACCCGGGGAAGTGCAGTCCACGTGGTGTTTGAACTGAACGCCGCTTCTTCTGATGACCTCATTTCAAGCAGGTCTGACCTTGGACTCCGCAGTCAGAGAACGGCGTGCTCGGGGCCCCGAGCCGTCCGTATTGTAGATGACTGACTCCCTCGCACATCTTGGAAGCAGGAGCGGGATGCCCGCGGCCTTTCTTGGGACGCGGCCAGAAACCACCCTGTGAAGTGTCATCCTGTGCTTTTTTGTAAGGATGCTGTTGAGGACGTTGTTTGTCACAGAGGGCCCGTGTTGAGAGGATTTCCTGTCTCGGGCACAGAAGGAGTAGATTTTCCTTGAGGGATTCGTGTGTTTTCACCTGACGGTGAATCTGAACGTCATTAACGTCACTTTCGAGGAGGTAATTCACACAACC